AGTGCACATTTAACGCGAAGACGCTCCTCAATTCTTGTGGCGTTCTCTTTTACAGCAAAACCACATCCAGGGATATTTTCATTCAAAAGTTGCGTCAATGTGTTGAACTCGGATGTATTTGTTTTGATCATTTCCCAGCACAGTAGCGCTGAAAAGGGTATGTCAATGCAGTAGGACGATTCCATACTCTTTCGTCCTTATTCGTTTACATATTTCAACTGGTTATTTCTCCACGGCTGCACAGATAGTCTTCGGGTGTCTTCCGTGACATAGTTCGGGAGAAATCCCCTCAAAAATCTGCTCATCCAAAATTAATCAATAAAATGTCACAAAAACTTTACCAGAAATAAAATAGTAATACGAGCCGCCAAATTGTACGTGCGTTTATCTATATTTCACGGCATTACGTTAATGTTTATTTCGGCAATAATGAGTTTTCTTATAAAATGCTCTTTTGTTTCCATAAGATATCGTGAAGTAAAAACAGTATTTTAACACGCAGACATTCTCGAATGATTTAAGTCGTCACACTAATGTGTGGTTGCATTACGATCCGAACTTCACCTTTGTTGTAATGAGATGGGAAGGACGAGGATGCACTTTCAGAGGACGAAAACATTGATGTGTTAAAGAGACGAATGTCTTTTTGAAGTTCCGGACCGAACAGATGCGAATTTTTCAATAGTGTTGTCGTCAGGAAGCAGCAAAAAATGGCATTTTGGAGCGTGATAATCGATTTTATAGACATTTGCATGGACGACGTAGGTAAATGATATCGTGTTTGAACTTTTTTTTGGTGGGGAGCACGAAACTGTTTATTTCATGTTTTCATACAACCCGGAACTCAACATTATGTTTGTTTAATTATAATATTTGTTTCAGCTACAGGCAGGATCGATTCTAAAACGCTCTGCTAGCAAAAAGCTATCTGAACCAAGTCGATACAAAGATCGTTCACGTAAATTCTTCACACGGAAATTCTGGATTCTTTCAGTATTAAATACCGAGAGATCAGGAAGGTTTGCTTTACATATATAAACAGGAGTAAGTTCCGTGTCGTCTGTTCACCATCGTTTAAGCTTAACTTGATAATATTTCTATTCCATCTCAAAGGGATGTCATTGGTTTTATGAAAAGCTTTTATGAAGCTAGAGTTATTGACATCGCCGTCCTATACGAAAATCACACAACTTAAAACATTTTTTCTTTGGCGACACGCACGGGAAAGTTTCCCGCGTCCACTGCCGTTCCCGTCTTGGCCTTCCTGTCCTTGCATCGTATAAAGGAGGACATGCAGAGGACACTAATGTCATGCGCTCAAATTTTAAAACAATATTGCGCAATGTAGAACAAAATCTACAATTAGGACGATTACATCACTGGGCGACTCAAATGGCACCGAAATCACGAATTCGCTGTTCGCGGTAATTCATTCCTGTAAAGGAAGCTCGAATCCCTTTCGAGGGGTTATTCAACCCTTTCGAGATATTTCAAGGGATAAGCTATGGATTGTCAAGCTTGCTCATGAAGAAGAGTGTTTTTTTAGTCGATTTTTTTAAAAACAATATTTGAAGAAGAAAAGTGTTGGTCCTCTGGTAGGAATTATAAATGTTATCCAGAGTTTTTGTCCGACTTCAGTTGATAATAAGAACTACCTCTTGTCAGAAAAAACGCTTTTGTTATCTGAAGACGATGAATGAAACCCAGGTCCTGCAGAGATTCCTAATCCACTTACCTACGGCCGTGGATTCATGTGCTCATCGAGCACC